GACAGAACAAAGACAAGCAGCTCAGGCAATTCCAGCCTTCGGGAGAAAGGAAGACACGTAAGCAAAGGTTAATCTCTCGGTCTCGTAAAATCCTACTGAAACATATCTCAATAATGTACTTTATCCATAAAAATTCTAATACAGGAGAAAAAAAATCATTTAGCTACTAAAATAATAAAGTCTCAAATTATGATTGAAATAGTAATCAATTTATATTAGTTTTAAAGATACAAAATGACTTGTTAGTGATATTAGTTCGTAAAGGTACTGACAAAAAAATATTAGTGACAAAAATTTGGTCAGCTAAATTGGTGCACTAGTGAAAAAGGGTTTTCCACAACATTAATTAATGACATTTAACAAGTATCATAGTAAAAGAAATTATTCACTGACAAAAGATGAAAAAGGAATTATTTTGGTAACCAATAAAACCTGTCACATCTAGGGTTGTCGATGTAAATGATATTTTTTATGTTTGATAACAAAGGGTTTGAACATAAACAAATGGCTCTTATTTACTAAAATTTAACGACACCTTTTTAACGTTTGATTTTATAGTTAAACGTAAATCATATAATGTAATTGAACCATTTTTCATTAGTGGTTTAAGACATCAATATACAACATATATTACATATGTGTAATAAACTTTCATCTAACTTTTAACCAGATTANAATAAAAATCACAATCTAATAACTAATATATTATCTTTAATTATAAATTAACACATGTAAATATCAAATAAATTTATAATAACAAATATCAATTTTTGTTTTTTTGAAAAATTCATATTAAAATACATATTTAAAGATAAATAGCAGACACATTTTAAGTATTTTAGGTATAGAAATTTCAGTTGAGACAGATAGTAGACACATTTTAAGTTTGATATTTTTTATTTTTTACATGTCTTAATAATTTTGACGTTTATGTGGATAATTTATGTTAGAGAAATTCTTGACATAAATTTATATCGGACTTTATTATGATATCTAATGTAAATTTTGTGTATTTATTAAAATAAAATAATTTGTTTTAGCATAAAAGCATAGCTTGTGTAAAAAGAGATATCAATTACAATTATTATGTTTTTTACATACATAAAATACAAATGATACTAATATGCATACATTTTTTTTATTAAGATTAAAAAAACAATCACAATGATATATCTTGTATTGTATCCAGTGGAGGCCGAACAGTTAACAATCAACACCATTCGGTTCATCCACTTAGGTCAAAGATTGGACCGTAATTGGGTCAGTGCTTAAGCTATTGCTGGGCCAACAGTTCAGCAGATGATAAAATAATCAAAGAATATCTAATTAAAGATATTGATAAGTAGGTTATAAACAACCAACCAGATTTTTAGGTAATCTGTTTATATTTTATTTGGCTTGTATTAGCTCAGGATCCATGAGATAAATTATAAATACAAAACCAAGACCAAAAGCCAGGTACGTTTCACTTACGTTCAATTCACCCTTCATAACACCCAAACATTCAGTAGTGATAATCCTTCACTGAATACTCAATCAAGAGCCGAGGCTCTTCAAATTCACGCCTAACTTGAGCGTCGGAGTATCTTTTACAGGTACCTCCCCCTGGAGCACGAAGGCAACCGATCGGCCCAGACTGAAGTGACTGAACGGCTCAGACGGAAGTCAACCGAACGGCTCCGACAGAAGAAAGGTAAGCAGCTCAGGCGATTCCAGCCTTCGGGAGGAAGGAAGACACGTCAGCAAAGGTTCGTCTCTCAGTCCTGTAAAATCCTATCGAAACATTTTGACACCCACCGTGGGGCCGAGCGGCAAACCCAATGGTGACCACGAGGAGCATGGAGGAACAACAGAACACCAGAGATTTGATAGTGCAGATGCAAGCACAAATACAAGCACAAGCAAGAACCATACAGGCGCAAGCGCAAGTACAACAAGAGATGCAGCGAAAGCACACAGAAGAGACTACATCGCTAAGGGCGGAACAGGTCCATACCGAGCGGTCCGCCTCAAACCACGAGAATGGAAACGAGGGAAGCAGTAATCGACAGCCATCCCAGCACACCAACCCGAACGGTCGAGGAAGGAGAGGACCTCCGCCCATCAAAACCGTTCGGCCAACCAACTTACTCCCTTTTACGACGAACATCATGCAAACTCCAATCCCAGAGAAAAATCCTCCGGTATTAGAGAGGTATGATGGCTCAACGGATCCCGACAATCATCTTAGGATCTTCACCAATGCAATGGCGTTCTACACGGACAGTGACCCGGTCATATGCAGAGCCTTCTCCTTATCGCTTAAGGACGAAGCATTGTAGTGGTATAACCCTCTTCCCCCAAACACAGTGGATTGCTTTGCCACTATAGAAACCCTCTTTAGAAGGCAATACGCCTCCAATCAGAAGCAGGAGATAACACCAGCGGAATTAGTAAATACTAAGCAAGAGAAAGAAGAAACTTTGAAAGCCTTTGTGATAAAAGTCAACTGAACGACTCCGATAGAAGAAAGACAAGCAGCTCAGGTGATTCCAGCGTTCGGAAGGAAGACACGTCACCAAATGTTCGTCTCTTGGTCCCGTAAAATCCTACTGAAACATATCTCAATAATGTACTTTATCCATAAAAATTCTAATACACATTACGAGAAAAAAAAATCATTTAGCTACTAAAATAATAAAGTCTCAAATTATGATTGAAATAGTAATCAATTTATATTAGTTTTAAAGATACAAAATGACTTGTTAGTGATATTAGTTCGTAAAGCTACTTAAATAGTGACAAAAAATATTAATGACAAAAATTTGGTCCCTAAATTGGTGCAATAGGGAAAAAGGGTTTTCCACAACATTAATTAATGACATTTAACAAGCATCATAGTAAAAGAAATTATTCACTGACAAAAGATGAAAAAGGAATTATTTTGGTAACCAATAAAACCTGTCACATCTAGGGTTGTCGATGTAAATGATATTTTTTATGTTTGATAACAAAGGGTTTGAACATATGACTCTTATTTACTAAAATTTCACAACACCTTTTTTAACGTTTGATTCTTTATAGTTAAACGTAAATCATATAATGTAATTGAACCATTTTTCATTAGTGGTTTAAGACATCAATATACAACATATATTACATATGTGTAATAAACTTTCATCTAACTTTTAACCAGATGAAATCTTCATATATAATATTTAGATACTTAATAAAGCTATAATGTTTTTGTTATATATAGGTAGATGCGCTTAATACATACAATAAGCATATTAGGTCAACATACAACTTAATATCATCAATTCAATCAAATACATATATCTCTATACATATATTCATATTATCTCTATACATATATTCATATTATATACTTTTAAATTAGTTACCATTCATACAATTCAATCAAAGAAATTAATTGTATTATAACTCAATTATACTAATTGAATTGAAAAATTGTTGTAATTTCTTTTAGATTTAAATTTGTTGAATGACTTTAAATTTGCTTGACAAATATATCTAATTCGAACATACTTATGATTGACATTGATCTTAAATTTTGAATTAACTTTTACTAAATTAATTTATAATCATTATATAAATTATCAAAATTCATTGCATAATTTCATGTTCAATAAGCAAATCAAATATCAAACTAATTCGAATGATTTTTGTTGAGTGAAAATAAGTTTAATAACCAAATTCCAAAACTCAAATCAAACATTCAAGTCCCAACGAGTTTAAAATGTACATTTACAACTAATTATTACATAACTTACATGTTTCAATAATTTCAAGTTATAAGTTGGAGATCAAAGATTCAATATTTAGTTCAAAACATAATAAGCAATCAATTCCTTCAAACATTTCAAAGAATAATCTTAATAGATCTAATATATAATTTGTAAACTACATATACTTCGTAAACTAAAGTTATATTAATTCAATCAACATAATATTTTAAATGAATAACAACTTAATATCCATCCTTACGTCCAAAAAAAAATTCAAACTTCCAACCCTACTATGAATTATATTTGATTTAAATAAATTTCTTTATCTCAATTCCTGTATAAGGAGATGCTCCAAAAATTTAGAAAAGTTAGAGAGATTTTTATTGTAGTTTAGTAGAGATTCAAATATTTGGCTTAGATACATTAACAAAACTGAAATAGAGAAGAAACATGAGGCTTAAGAGATGAGAAACTATTACTTTTATATTGAAATTTGAATTAGTTAAAATTTATCATTGCTTTTGTCACAGTTCATGGATATTCCTTGATTAAGAAATAGATGAAAATAAACTCTAAAGAGAAGTCAAACAAAATGTTTAAAAATTTCATATTGACAAGTTATAATTAGTTTAGTTATCATTGAGTTCAAGAATGTGCAGTTACGTAGAGTTATACTAACAGTTAAAAGTGAAGTAGACCACAAATTTTAAAAATATAGTAAAATATTTAAATTAAAAAGTTGACTTGTATTAATTATTGTGTTTAATAATCTATTAATTGCAAAATCATTTATTGTAATACATTAATTACATTACTTATTACTTATAATATCTTCTAGGTTTAATAAATATAACATTTTCACTGAATGTATTAGTCTCATTCAAATTCATAAATGTTACAGAATATATTATTAAAATACACAACACAAAAGTAACGCTGGAGAAAGTAGATTAGTTAAGGTTTGAGAATTTGAAAAAAATTATAAAATATACCTATATTAGAAATATAATATATTAATAAATAGATAATTGTAAAGTTTATATATAATTTATGTTTAATAAATGTTTTGATTTATTAGAAACAGTTACTTACATACGTAACAGTTGCATTTGCAGTGTATATGGAGAGGGAAGGGAGGGAGTGGTATCCAATGTCTTTGGCACGTGTGAATGAAGCTGCAGTCTACCCTCACACGCTTCTGGACGCCCCCACTTGCCCGCGCAGAAGGTGAGGATCCTGTGTCAGCATTTCTGTATTTGAAAGTTCAAAAACAAACCCCACTCACTACTCATCCCTTTCCCACTCTCACCCTCAGGCACACGCACTCTCTCTCTCTCTCTCCTCCCTCTTCCCTCCTTCAACGCCTGTTGCCTGTAACGTAACGGATCTCCATTAATGCTCTCTTTGTCTTTCTCTCTCTTCAAATACATTTTTCTCTATTTCTATCTCCTCTTTTACGTTTTTCTCTCCATTTCACTGTGCCTTTTCCTTTTCTAATCTTCAACACTGCTAGGAATCCTAGGGTTTTCATTTCTCCACCCTTCACCATCAGCATTCCTTCCTCGTTCATGATTCTTCATGGACAAATTCCGCCGCAGCAACTCCAACCACCAACCTTCTCTTACTCAAGGTCACTCTCTCTTTCACCCAAAAGTTCGGTTAAACTGCTTCTTTCATTCTCAGGATTTCTGATTTTACTGCTTCTGCCTCCTGTTGCTCATCTGATTTCTCTCAGGAAAAAAAAATGTTTCTCTTTTTTATTTTATTTTATTAATTTGGATTTCGGATTTTTTAATTTTTTGTTTATTTTTCGTAGGCATTTTTTAATCTATTTTGAATTTTGGCCTTCTTTTTTTCCTAATGAGTATAATTTTTTTTATACTATTTACTATTGAGGATCAGTCGTCTGGGACAATAATTTAACCTATTAGTCCACTAGAGATAAATGTTTAACAGTGTGAAACTAGAGGAATCTCTAAGAAACAACAACTAGTCCTTTTCTCTCACCAGTGGAATCTGCTACATGGTAAAAATAATGATTATAAGGACCCGAGTTAATGCTGCTTTCTGCTGTTTCATTTCTTTTACCTGCCTTCTAACCTTTTCTGCGGTGTAGTCGGCATGATTTCCTTTGTTTTCATAATGATTTTATGCGGTTGCAATGTTTTGTGATCACACATTACGGTGTCTGGCAATTGATGGTATTCAAAAAATGTTCTTTTTGTTTTTTGTTCTGTTTTTTGTTCTGTTTTTGTCTGCTTCATGTTTAACTAGACTCCTTGTGGAGTTATGTTCTTTCACTGCTATTATCTCAGTGGTTTCTTTTGTTCATGATAAGCTGTTCATGTTTGTATAACAAATTTCCTGGTTGCTTCCTTGTCTTGATTCTAGTTATTACAAACAAATATTATTTTTATTATCGGCAATATTTTATTATCAGTTTCCTCGTATTTGATCCTAAATCTTCATTTTATGCTAATGTTGTCGTGCAGCTCCGAGGAACAAACAGGTTCATAGACAACGACTACCTCCGAATCTGTCACCTGATTCTTGTTCAGGCGGTGGTGTTGCTGCAGAGAAAGATTCGGTAAGCTGGATTTTCCTATTTATTTGTTTTTTTGTACAATTGACCATGATCTACTTGGAAACATCTACCGATTAATGAAGAAACTTGCCAAATTCGGTGGTGGGGTAGAGCATTTAGTTCTCTGAATGAGGTATTTTGTATTAAAAGAAAAGAAATCCTTGATAGTAAATATGCTGAATTTTGCAGTTTTCTCACAAATTTGGTTGGAGATCTTCGAAAAAACTGCTTGGAACACCGATTAAGAAGTTATTAGACGAAGAGATGTCACCGAAATCTGAATCAAAAAGAAGATCCCCTGGAGTCATCGCCAGATTGATGGGTCTTGATGGACTGCCATTTCAGCAGCCTATTAATAAGCAGCATAAGGGTTTATCTGAAAACCACCAGAAGACTCCACAATTGCAGAAAACACGCGGCAAAGGAGTGCCATATGACTGTGGTTCATCTAGGAGAGGCTTAAGGGATCACCAAGAATTTAAGGATGTATTTGAGGTTTCTGAGATTCCAAAGGTAGAGAGCAGTAGATATCCGTCGCCAGGGTGTGTAGACTTGAAGACCAATGATGCTGAAATGTCATTCATTGAACAGAAGTTCATGGATGCCAAACGCCTTGCAACTCATCAAGATTTACAGTCTTCAAAGGACTTCCGAGACACACTTGAGGTTTTGGATTCTAACAAGGATCTTCTGCTGAAATACTTTAAGCGGCCAGATTCTTTGTTTAAAAAGCATCTAAATGATCTTCAAACTGTTCCGGTTCAATCACATTACAGACATGCAGAAACTATGGATATCGAGAAGTATGAAGATGACTTAAGTTGGAGGTCAGATAGGGAGAAAACACGGTTGAACTACAATAGATCTCATGAAAAGCANTACTGACAAAAAAATATTAGTGACAAAAATTTGGTCAGCTAAATTGGTGCACTAGTGAAAAAGGGTTTTCCACAACATTAATTAATGACATTTAACAAGTATCATAGTAAAAGAAATTATTCACTGACAAAAGATGAAAAAGGAATTATTTTGGTAACCAATAAAACCTGTCACATCTAGGGTTGTCGATGTAAATGATATTTTTTATGTTTGATAACAAAGGGTTTGAACATAAACAAATGGCTCTTATTTACTAAAATTTAACGACACCTTTTTAACGTTTGATTTTATAGTTAAACGTAAATCATATAATGTAATTGAACCATTTTTCATTAGTGGTTTAAGACATCAATATACAACATATATTACATATGTGTAATAAACTTTCATCTAACTTTTAACCAGATTAAATCTTAATATATAATATTTAGATACTTAATAAAGTTATAATGTTTTTGTTATATATAGGTAGATGCACTTAATACATACAATAAGCATATTAGGTCAACATACAACTTAATATCATCAATTCAATCAAATACATAGATCTTTATACATATATTCATATTATATACTTTTAAATTAGTTACCATTCATACAATTCAATCAAAGATATTAATTGTATTATACCTCAATTGTACTAATTGAATTGAAAAATTGTTGTAATTTCTTTTAGATTTAAATTTGTTGAATGACTTTAAATTTGCTTGACAAATATATCTAATTCAACCATACTTATGATTGACATTGATCTTAAATTTTGAATTAACTTTTACTAAATTAATTTATAATCATTATATCTAATTCGGTCATACTTATGATTTTAGATCGAAAGATTTTTGTTGAGTGAAAATAAGTTTAATAACAAATTTCAAAACTTAAATCAAACATTCAAGTCCCAACGAGTTTAAAATGTACATTTACAACTAATTATTGCATAACTTACATGTTTCAATAATTTCAAGTTATAAGTTGGAGATCAAAGATTCAATATTTAGTTGAAAACATAATAAGCAATCAATTCTCTTCAAACATTTCAAAGAATAATCTTAATAGATCTAATATATAATTTGTAAACTACATATACTCCGTAAACTAAAGTTATATTAATTCAATCAACATAATATTTTAAATGAATAACAACTTAATATCCATCCTTACGTCCAAAAAAATTAATATCAAAATTCAAATTTCCAACCCTACTATGAATTATATTTGATTAAATAACTTTCTTTATCTCAATTCCTGTATAAGGAGATGCTCCAAAAATTTAGAAAAGTTAGAGAGATTTTTATTGTAGTTTAGTAGAGATTCAAATATTTGGCTTAGATACATTAACAAAACTGAAATAGAAAAGAAACATAAGGCTTAAAAGATGAGAAACTATTACTTTTATATTGAAATTTGAATTAGTTAAAATTTATCATTGCTTTTGTCACAGTTCATGGATATTCCTTGATTAAGAAATAGATGAAAATACTAAAGAGAAGTCAAACAAAATGTTTAAAAATTTCATATTGACAAGTTATAATTAGTTTAGTTATCATTGAGTTCAAGAATGTGCAGTTATGTAGAGTTTATACTAACAGTTAAAAGTGAAGTAGACCACAAATTTTAAAAATATAGTAAAATATTTAAATTAAAAAGTTGACTTGTATTAATTATTGTGTTTAATAATCTATTAATTGCAAAATCATTTATTGTAATACATTAATTACATTACTTATTACTTATAATATCTTCTAGGTTTAATAAATATAACATTTTCACTGAATGTATTAGTCTCATTCAAATTCATAAATGTTACAGAATATATTATTAAAATACACAACACAAAAGTAACGCTGGAGAAAGTAGATTAGTTAAGGTTTGAGAATTTGAAAAAAATTATAAAATATACCTATATTAGAAATATAATATATTAATAAATAGATAATTGTAAAGTTTATATATAATTTATGTTTAATAAATGTTTTGATTTATTAGAAACAGTTACTTACATACGTAACAGTTGCATTTGCAGTGTATATGGAGAGGGAAGGGAGGGAGTGGTATCCAATGTCTTTGACACGTGTGAATGAAGATGCAGTCTACCCTCACACGCTTCTGGACGCCCCCACTTGCCCGCGCAGAAGGTGAGGATCCTGTGTCAGCATTTCTGTATTTGAAAGTTCAAAAACAAACCCCACTCACTACTCATCCCTTTCCCACTCTCACCCTCAGGCACACGCACTCTCTCTCTCTCTCTCCTCCCTCTTCCCTCCTTCAACGCCTGTTGCCTGTAACGTAACGGATCTCCATTAATGCTCTCTTTGTCTTTCTCTCTCTTCAAATACATTTTTCTCTATTTCTATCTCCTCTTTTACGTTTTTCTCTCCATTTCACAGTGCCTTTTCCTTTTCTAATCTTCAACACTGCTAGGAATCCTAGGGTTTTCATTTCTCCACCCTTCACCATCAGCATTCCTTCCTCGTTCATGATTCTTCATGGACAAATTCCGCCGCAGCAACTCCAACCACCAACCTTCTCTTACTCAAGGTCAATCTCTCTTTCACCCAAAAGTTCGGTTAAACTGCTTCTTTCATTCTCAGGATTTCTGATTTTACTGCTTCTGCCTCCTGTTGCTCATCTGATTTCTCTCAGGAAAAAAAAATGTTTCTCTTTTTTATTTTATTTTATTAATTTGGATTTCGGATTTTTTAATTTTTTGTTTATTTTTCGTAGGCATTTTTTAATCTATTTTGAATTTTGGCCTTCTTTTTTTCCTAATGAGTATAATTTTTTTTATACTATTTACTATTGAGGATCAGTCGTCTGGGACAATAATTTAACCTATTAGTCCACTAGAGATAAATGTTTAACAGTGTGAAACTAGAGGAATCTCTAAGAAACAACAACTAGTCCTTTTCTCTCACCAGTGGAATCTGCTACATGGTAAAAATAATGATTATAAGGACCCGAGTTAATGCTGCTTTCTGCTGTTTCATTTCTTTTACCTGCCTTCTAACCTTTTCTGCGGTGTAGTCGGCATGATTTCCTTTGTTTTCATAATGATTTTATGCGGTTGCAATGTTTTGTGATCACACATTACGGTGTCTGGCAATTGATGGTATTCAAAAAATGTTCTTTTTGTTTTTTGTTCTGTTTTTTGTTCTGTTTTTGTCTGCTTCATGTTTAACTAGACTCCTTGTGGAGTTATGTTCTTTCACTGCTATTATCTCAGTGGTTTCTTTTGTTCATGATAAGCTGTTCATGTTTGTATAACAAATTTCCTGGTTGCTTCCTTGTCTTGATTCTAGTTATTACAAACAAATATTATTTTTATTATCGGCAATATTTTATTATCAGTTTCCTCGTATTTGATCCTAAATCTTCATTTTATGCTAATGTTGTCATGCAGCTCCGAGGAACAAACAGGTTCATAGACAACGACTACCTCCGAATCTGTCACCTGATTCTAGTTCAGGCGGTGGTGTTGCTGCAGAGAAAGATTCGGTAAGCTGGATTTTCCTATTTATTTGTTTTTTTGTACAATTGACCATGATCTACTTGGAAACATCTACCGATTAATGAAGAAACTTGCCAAATTCGGTGGTGGGGTAGAGCATTTAGTTCTCTGAATGAGGTATTTTGTATTAAAAGAAAAGAAATCCTTGATAGTAAATATGCTGAATTTTGCAGTTTTCTCACAAATTTGGTTGGAGATCTTCGAAAAAACTGCTTGGAACACCGATTAAGAAGTTATTAGACGAAGAGATGTCACCGAAATCTGAATCAAAAAGAAGATCCCCTGGAGTCATCGCCAGATTGATGGGTCTTGATGGACTGCCATTTCAGCAGCCTATTAATAAGCAGCAAAAGGGTTTATCTGAAAACCACCAGAAGACTCCACAATTGCAGAAAACACGCGGCAAAGGAGTGCCATATGACTGTGGATCATCTAGGAGAGGCTTAAGGGATCAACAAGAATTTAAGGATGTATTTGAGGTTTCTGAGATTCCAAAGGTAGAGAGCAGTAGATATCCGTCGCCAGGGTGTGTAGACTTGAAGACCAATGATGCTGAAATGTCATTCATTGAACAGAAGTTCATGGATGCCAAACGCCTTGCAACTCATCAAGATTTACAGTCTTCAAAGGACTTCCGAGACACACTTGAGGTTTTGGATTCTAACAAGGATCTTCTGCTGAAATACTTTAAGCGGCCAGATTCTTTGTTTAAAAAGCATCTAAATGATCTTCAAACTGTTCCGGTTCAATCACATTACAGACATGCAGAAACTATGGATATCGAGAAGTATGAAGATGACTTAAGTTGGAGGTCAGATAGGGAGAAAACACGGTTGAACTACAATAGATCTCATGAAAAGCATCTTGATGGTTATCCTTATCATTTTGACAAAAGACATGTGATGCATAGTTCACCAAAATCATCAAAGCTTCAATTTCAGGGCAGACATGAACAAGACGCAGTCCCCACAAAGATTGTCCTCCTGAAACCCAATCTTGGAAAAGTGCAGGGTACCAGAATTGCATCATCACCTTGTTCTCATAATTTTCTGTCGGGGCGTGAAGGAGACGGTGAACTGTGTCAAGTGACAAATTTGCCTGAAAGTGCAAGTTCTTGGAGGCAAGATTCTTTTGAATCTAGAGAAATTGCTAAGGAAATTACTAGGCAAATGAGAAATAGTCTTAACAATAGCGGCATGATGCTTTCAACTTCTAGAATTGCGGGATATGCTGGGGATGATAGTTCATGTAGTATTTCTGGTAATGAATCTCCTGACATATCTGGGGAAATAACTGCAACTTTGGGAAATTCATTCGACTTAAACAGCCGTAGCAGGCGATCATCCCATTCCGGTGAATCTTCTGTAAGTAGAGAGGCGAAGAAGAGATTGTCAGAGAGGTGGAAAATGACACACAAGTCTCAAGAGGTGGAGGGAATCAGCAGGAGTAGCACGCTGGCAGAAATGCTTTCTATCCCTGACAAAGACTTGAAGGCAGC